GGCTATGCCCGCCATCCCGCAGGCCCACGCCCACGCTGGCGTCGCTCCTCGCCTCGTGGCCCGCCGTGCCCTCCACCTCGGGTCACGGCTGGCATGCATTCGCGAGGCCACCAGCCTTCGGCCACGTTCGCTCGGCTCGGGATCTCGTCAACATTAGAGGGGTGCCCGCACCTCTCCAGACACGCCGATGTCAACTGAGCGGTGCATGCTGCTCCGCCCGCACGGCCGTGGGACCCTTGCCTGCGGCCCCTGCGCCCTCACGTTCTGCGTCGACGAGGCTGTCGGCATTTCCCACGACAAGACGGGCGCGTCAGTCGACGGCGCGGCGCCACTTACCGACGCCTCACCACCAAGGCCCAAGGTGCCTTCGACCGACGGATGCCCTGGGTGAGCGACTCTCCCGTTCACCGCGGCGCCATCCCAGCCGTTCCAGTACGGGTGAGCAGGTACTCGTCCCTTCCCCGGCTCGGCGGTGGGTGACCCCGCGTGGGGATTTCCCCACCTTGCCGCATCGTGCCTGGCAACGACCTCTCGTCCCCTGGGCCGCCAGCCGTCGATCCTTCCATCTCCGTCCGTCAGCCCTGCGCGGACGCACGCTGCAACACTTCACGCAGCAACATGGCGTTTCAGCCCGTAGACAGTCACGCTTCGAGCTGACTTTCACGTCCCTCGTCTTGGTTTCGGCTTGTTTGGCGTGCTACTCCCCACGCTCATCCTGTCTTCTTCGGCATATGCGCTGTCAGGCGGCGCTGTCTATACTTGTGGATGCCACGACAATGGACACCCTAACAGCCCTATCATTGAATGTCAAATGTGCTTAAAGTGTAGGAAACTGTCTGGAACATAATTTAAGCATGTGTTTTGCGTGATTAAACCTGTTTAAGACATGTTTAGACATCTGGAAAAAGTATTTGGCAACATGCTTCCTCTCCATTAATCGTCCTCCACAAATCTATACAGGTTTCCCTGCAGCATCGTGCCCGTCTCTGTCTGCGCCACGGCCCCCACGGCCCGTCGCTGCCCATGTGACCCGCGGGCGCGGTGGTTGGCCTCTTTCTTCTACCACACCACTGTTCTGCAGGCCTTGGTCAGCCTCCGTGCGGTCTCCTGGTCCCAATCTGGTGTCCTGGGCACAGGATTTGGTCCTTGCGACACGGCCTCCATGGCCTGTTCCCCCTGAGTGTTCCCTTCGCACCTCCTCCACTCCCATACTGCAAGTTAGCCGATCATCAATTACATCCTCAAACACCTTCACAGCCAACGTGCTGATCGTCGGCTTGTTCTGCATGCTGTCCCTCACGGCATCCCGTTCTTCTTCGGGATCCCCGCTGCCACGCGCCCTTGTCTTCAAGCTCCCGTTGCTGCCCGTGTCCACTCTGCGGCGGCTGGCCGCCGCTTCAGCCACCACCCTCCCAAGCACGAAGTTCGGTCCTTGCGGCTTGGCCTCAATGGCCGCTCCATTCATAGAGGCTCCCCTTGTAGCAGCACGGCCCCCTGTCCGTCGCCGCCAGTGTGCGTCCACTCTGCGGCGGCTGACCGCCTCTTCAACCACCATCCTCCCAAGCACGAGATTCGGCGGCACGGCCTCCATGTTGAGCAGGGACTGAGTGTCCCGGCATTTCTACAGGCTTACCACATCATGTTCTGAGAACCCAAACGTGTTCTAGGAACAAAAAGCACTGTCCTCAGAAGAAAAAAAACATGTGCCAGAACAAGACCGTCTCAGCCAGAAGTGTTCTAAGAACATGTCGTGCAGACCACAAAAAAATTCGTAGAACACTCTTTGGTCGGTCTATAAGCCAGCTAGGACGCTTCGCCACTGCTTGACCATGGAGGTTCCGCCCGGGTGCCTCCCTCGCGCCGCCCATCGCGTTGAGTAGCTGGCCTCCCGTGCGCCGACAAAGCGCCCTGGGCACCCGCCCCCTCCTCCTACAGGCGGATGTGGGACGAAAAATAAAAAGCACCACGCAAAATAAAAAGCACCCCGAAACAATCAAACATAACCCATATTGGTGAAAAGATCGTCCCCAGACTATTTTTGTTGACTGTTCTTGAGGAGGACGAGGAAGAGAGGAGGAGGGAGGAGGAGGAGGAGGACCCCCTCCCCCCATCCTCCTTATGGTAGTGGTAGTGGGAAATAAGCCCATCAGACCAGTGCCCTGGGCACCCGTCAGGGGTGGGGTGCCCACCACCACCACCTTCAGGGGTGGGGTCCCGTCCGTGGGCCCACCACCTTCAGGGGTGGGGTGCCGACCCTCCCTCGAGGGATGAGGTCGACGATCAATTTTAAAGGGGCCCAGGGGCACACAGATAAATACCAACAAATCCCAGGGCTCCCATATGTTCGCGTAGTTTGTGGATTCTCGTCTTCCCCCCCACTTCCCATATTTTCCCATACTTTCCTGGGGATCGACGGTTCATTGTGTCTGTGTTTGTTTTTGTTCCCCCTTCCTGATCAATGCAGAGACGATTCTGGAATGACCTGGGACATGAAAAAGAATTCTATCGCAAAGACCTGCGCAACTGCCACTCTGCTCGAGCGTGCGCCGACCCCTGGAGGATCCTATTGAGCTCCAGCCTGGAGCACCACGCGGTGTCAACGTGAGGACTCGGAGCCCAAGGTGCTACTGATACGAGGAAACACGAACACGCCCCCCCCACCTCTCTTTCCCCGCTCCTTTCCTGCCGCTTCTCTTTCCTTTCTCCCTCCTGCTCTCCTCCCTGGGTGGCAGGTCCCTGTGTCCCTTCATGGCTTCGGGCGGGGGCGCCGTTCCTGTTATTTGGGCGCTTCAGCCCAGTCCGCCAGTTTAGCACGCTCGCTTCGGGTAGCATCCTCGGGCCCAATGGGGGGGTGACCCCTCCAAGTGCTCGTCCGTGGCGGGCGGGCCGCAAATACCTCCCGCGGGTGTTCTGTCCTTCCTGCCGCGTGGCCCGTAGTCAAGCGCGCTGCGCCTGGCTCTGCGGCCATCTCCTACGACTATCTCGGGGGGAACGAAAGTGGGGGGTAGCAAAGGTTAGGGTAGAGAATCAGCTCTTTCCCAGCGCCTCCCGGCGCTGGGAGGCGCCCAAGTATCGAGGAATGGGCCCGGCGGCGGGGCCGAAACAAGCTGCATGCAGCAGATCCTGTAACCCCCCTTTCCCCATCCCCCCCCTTCGTTCGGCCCCACTATCGCGCGGCTAGACTCGTGCGCCGTCGGGACCGTCTTCCGCGGTCACGGGCTCCTCGTCCCCGCCCTTACCCTATAATGTGGCGGGGCGCACGCGGCGCCCGTAGCCGCGGCGCACAGGCCCCACGGGTCGGCATTGGTGTGTTTGTGTGTGTGTGTGCGTGTGTGCGTGTGCTTGTGTCTGTGTCTGTGTCTGTGATTGTGTCTGTGTCTGTGTGTGTCTGTGTGTGCTTGTGTGCATGCGTGTGTCTGTGTCTGTGTCTGTGTGTGTGTCTGTGTCTGTGTCTGTGTCTGTGTCTGTGTCTGTGTCTGTGTCTGTGTCTGTGTCTGTGTCTGTGTCTGTGTCTGTATGTGTGTGGTGTGTGTGTGCGTGTGCGTGTGTGTGTGTGTGTGTGTGTGTGTGTGTGTCTGCGTGTCTCTCTCTCTCTCTCTCTCGCTCTCTCTCTCTCTCTCTCTCACTAGGCAGATCTATACGTGCACACATGAGGCATCGCCGGAAGGCCGATCGAGGAGGCAGCGACGGCTCTCCGGCCTGGCCGCAGTCCGCTCAGAACCCAGCTCTCGAGGCGGATGCAGCCGCGGCGGCGAGGAGCCTCTAGGAGGCCTGGCGAGGGCGAGGAAAGCCAAACAGAGGCCGCCGTTGTCTCGACGGGCCCGCTTCCGACTGCTTCCTAGCGATGGGTTGGGCCTCAGGTCCGGGTGTTGCTAGACGTACCCCTGACCCAAGGTGCCCCCAGCTCTTCGCGCCATTTTAAAGCCCCTGGGGCCCTCTGGGCCTCGTGAGGGGTGCTTTGGAGGCCGTTTGGGCTACCCCGAGAATCCTAGAGGCATCTTGTCCCAGGGGCACTTCTAGCAACACCCGACAGGTGGCCGTTCGCGACGCTTCTGGCATCCCCGGACAGCCCGTGACGAAGCGCAGCTGATGGGAACCATTCTGGCTCGC